TTTCTAATATGCACACAAATCGGAGAACTAACTGCGCGCCTACTAATAAACAAAATAAATATTAATGTAGGGTATCACATTATTTTTTTCTTTTTTAGTAAAGCATCATATTATTATGTAAGTAAATTAGTTTAGATTTTATTTTGGAAATAATAGTTGGTGTGCTATTTGGAATTTGATAGGTAAATGTAATACAGTAGTGGTGAGCATCTCATAACTAATTTGCATGGATTCAAGTTTTTATATGCAATAATTCGTTTTTTTAATTACCATTTTTACCACCTTCTATTTACTTAGATAAATATATTTTTTTCCCTGCTAAAAATTAGTATATCAAAATAAATTATCAAACAAAAAAAATTATGTTAGAAACTATTGATACAAAATAAACCATATTTTTTTAGGATATCTAAAATGATAGGAACAACTCTGACTAATTTACAACTCCTTGAAAGTAGTCTTTTGTGATGACTGTTTTACTACCCTTTTGGTGGTGTAGAATTTTTTCTAACGCCTCTTTTTGGTGGATAAGATAATTGTGGAAAGACTGTAAACAAAATATAAGAAGAAGTAAAAAAAATACAGTTTTCTTCATGGCTTCATTAAAACTGTGATTTTAGATAATTTTTTTTTGTAAAATGTTTTCATCAATCATCAACACAATAATAACACAACTGTCTCTCCAAGGGATGACACATCAGCTTTTTCAAGCTTTCTAAAGTTGACACCTCAGCAAAAACAAACACCAATCAAAACATTTTATTAATACACATCATCTACTAACTTTTATCATTTTTAACTTAAACCCATTAAATTTTTTTTTTTTTTTTTGCCAAACTCAATCCCAAATAATAAATAACAGCAAATAAAAAAAAAAATTGTTTTCTTTTTTACCATCCTCAAATCCAAATAATAAATAACAACAAATAAATAAATAAAATCTTTGTTTTATATTTTTGTCAAACCGAAACTCAAATAATAAACAACAGAAAAAGATTAAAATTTATAACTATGTGTTTGCTTGATAGAGACATATATGATTGAAGAAAGTGTAGACTCATCATCAACTATGCTTCCATAACAACAACGCAAAAAGCATTGTATTATAAGAAGCTCACACATCAGCAAAAAATTGAACCAATAAAAACATAACAATAATATATATCATTAACACACTAATAAAATCAGTTTACTACTTTGCTGACCCATTAAAAAAATCCAAAGTTTGCAAAAAAATGGAAGTCAAAAGCAAATGAGGAGAAGCTCAGACCACTACAGCTTGGAGATTCGCATTTCCGGTGGTTACCGAGAACAAAATTTATTGGGTTTGGCAGGAATAGGGAATTTCTTGGTTTCGGTAGGAAAATGTGATTATCAGTTTTGGTAGGAAAACATAATTTCTAGATTATGGCGGAAAAAAGCGAATTCTCGGGTTTGGTGGAAAAATGTGAATTTTTGTTTTTGGTGAGAATTTTTTTTTTGATTTTGACGTGAAAACAAAATATCTTAGTTTTGATGAGAAAATACGAAGGAAGTGCAATTTTTCAATTTTGAAAAAAATACAATTTCTAGGTTTTTATAGGAAATGCAAATTTTTGGCTTTTGATGGATAATGTGATTTCTTGATTTTTTCGGGAAAAAGTGGTTTCTTAATTTTCGCAGGAAGCATAATTTCTCTGAAGATAATGCAATTTTTGGTTTCTGCGGGAAATTGTAGTTTATCGGTTTTGGTATGAAGACGTGATTCTTGGTTTGATGAGAATTTTTTTCTTTTTTCTTTTGGCGAGAATAAACGATTTCTCGGTTTTTGTGAGAAAAAAATATTTTTTTTTGGTTTTGACGAGAAAATATAATTTTTTGGTTTTTGCAGGAAGATGAAATTTTTTGGTTCCGGTGAAAAAACTTGATTTCTCTGTTTTGGCGTGTAAACACATGTGATTTTTTTGTTTTTGCGGGAAAATGCAATTTTTTTGTTTTGGTAGGAAAATGAAATTTCAGGTTTGACAAAGAAATTAATTTTTTTGGTTTTGGCGGGAATAAACGATTTTTCAGTTTCGTAGGAAAATGAAATTTTTTTTTTTTGTTGGAAAATGCAATTTCTAAGTTTTTGTAAAAAGATAAAAAAATTCTGTGTAAATTTTCAAGTTACAATATGTTTATAGTAACCAAAATTGAATTATTTAACTTCAACTAAATTGATATTTAAACAGTTCAAACAGAACTTTCTATTTAGTTCTAAAACAATAGCAATTGTTTTGATATGAATGTTATTGATTATTGTTTGGTAGTTTTAGAAACATATGTTTATAATAAATATTTGATAAATAAATAAATTTTATAATTCAAAATAATCATATTAATTAATAATTTTTTTAAATGGCAATTTGCTTTATATAATTTCAAAGGAGGATCAAGTGGTAATTTAGTAGAGAAAATAAATTACATTTGCCATTAGCATGAAGGTACTTAAAAACGTAATGTTTTATTCTTATATATACATTTATAGATAGTTAGCTAAATAAATTTGATAGTAAATTATAATTTTGAAAAATAAAAAAATCAGAATATATAATGTTTATTCAGATTTAAAACATATAAAATACATAATTTGAGTTAATAAAAAATAAATATAATACTCATTTACATAATAAAAATAATTTTATTATATTAAAATATATACAAAATCTAGAAAAATATCCTGCAGCGTAGCGCAGGTAAATACCTAGTCGGTAACAATAAATCAAATCTAACTCCTTATAACAGGTATTCACAATATAAAGAATAGCATATATTTCTCGGTTGATGTTGGGTGTATATTCTCTATTTTGATGTTCGGATGTATATTATTGGAAGAAATAGTTAAGTTTGACATGCCCAAAGCAAGATAAAATAAATCGATGGAGAAAAAATACAAAATCAATCGATGACTGGCAGAGCATCGAACCAGAAGACGTGCTGACAAAAAATATTTTCATAGAAGAAGATAGATACTTAAAGGAAACAACGATAAGAGTGGAATCCATTTTTACCGAAGCAGCAGATAAGAAGATCCTAATTAAGTAATAAATATGAAGAAGGTGGCGTAGAGCAACTCCATTATGAGTTTTTTAAGAGAAAATTTACTAGATGGCCTAAATTAATATTGAAATTGGAAAAGTGAAGCTAATAATTAAAAATTAGGTTGATACATATTATATATAGAAATCATGATTATTTTGCCTTTATAATTATTTGATACGATTTGAATAGATAACAATTCAATTATCATGCTAACTAATATAATATTGTGATAATTGTTTTAACTATGCTAACTAATATGATGCTTGATTAGCAAATTAAAATAATAGTATGTTAACACAATAGTTATCATATTAATTGTGTTACTATGCTAACTAATATGATGCTCGATTAGCATATTGTACAAATATCGAGTTAACATGATAACTATTGTGTTAACGTTGCTATTATTTCATGAAAAATAGTAGTTAACTTTGTTAACTATATAAGTTATGCAAAATTATCATGTTAACAATATTATCATACCAACAAATTATTATATTAATATTATGAGCATGCTAACTGTCGTGATAACTATTGTGTTAACTATCGTATCACCACCAGCACCACTTATACCCACCACTACCACCACCAACACTATCACTACCATCGCCATTGCCGACACCACCACCACCACCATCGCCATTACCCACACCATCACCACTACCACCAGCATCGCCATCACTTCCACCACCACCACCGCCGGCGACTCCATCATTACCACCGACCACCATCCCCATCGAGAAAAACACCACTATCACCAAACTATTATCATTGCCATCATTGATAACACCACCACCACAACCACCGCCACCACCACCACCATCGGCATCACAACCATCACCATCATCACTGGTATCGTCATCACAACCATCACTATCACCACCGGTATCATCATCACATCCACTATCACCGGTGTGCTATCACCGCCATCATCAATAATCCACAATCACTATTTATCTTTATCATTCGAAGGGTTTGTAAAAAATAAAATAGGAGAAAGAAAATAAAAAAATAGAAATAAAAAATAAAGAAGCAACAGGTTACGTAAGAGTAGAAAAGTCTTTCGATAATGAACATATGCTTTTAAAAGCTGTCAGAAACTATCACTTAATTTCTTTGTTATTTAAGTCTATTCCTTACAATTTTCCGTTTTAATGACTATCTTAGGTATTAAATATTAAAACAAATTAAAAAGTATAAGAGAGAATTTACAATCGATTCTGATATAAAGATTTGTTAAACCGCTTTTTACCGCTTAATTGTACTTGATTGGTTCAGTTTTTTTAATCAAAATTTAATTATAAAATATATAAAATGAAAATATTAATATAATATTATTAAAATACTCATTTTAAGAACTTAAGAGATTGAGATTATCTTAGGTTGAGTGAACAGTTCCAGCAATTTCGGAGGCTAAAAACAGGAAAACTTGGCCCTCTTGGCGTATGTCCAATTACAATCAAAAGAGAAAAAAAATAATCATCATAATAATTAATAAGCATTTTTAAAATTGAAAAGCGGACATCACCATATTTTTAGAAAACACAAAGTTGAAATCCAAAAAGATACAATTGACACAAATAAATACTACTAAATCACCTAATATTTTTGCAATTATGTCTCTAAATTTTTTGTACTTTATAACAAATTACACTTTTTTCAAAAAAAAAATATACAAATATAAAGTTCACTGCAAAAATCAATTTTATCACATTAAAAAAATAGAAATTGTAAAAATACCCTGCAGTATAGCACGGATAACTTATCTAGTTCATCCTAATTTCCCTAAAATCATTCATCTCTAACGCTACTTATTTCCTAACTCTTGTATAAATTTAATTTTCACACTTATTGCTAAATCGCGTAAAACTGGAAAGAAAAGACTTTACAAACTAGATCCTTAAATTAAATCCAAACTTCAAGTAAGCCCCAAAAGTTAGCACATTGGAAGGAGCATAGTTAATTGCTTTCTCTCGCTTTCCCCCCAATTCAATACTCTGCTCTCTTCCTCCATCAAACGCAGAGACCCGAAAAATCTCTGTTTGCGTCTCAGAAAAGCAAACTCTTCTTGTCAGAGCAATCAACTTCACAGCCCTAAAAATCAAAGTAAGCGGCTACATTTCTTCGCATCACTGACAAATTTTGATGGTTCTAGGCAATATAGGGTCTTAGGGTTTTGTATGAAATCGCAAAAAGCTAAGACTTTTTTTTTCACACTGTTTCCCCCAGAAAAGAAAAAAACTTGCTTTACCGCTCTCGATGATTGGTGGGTTTCGTTAAAAATCCGTTCTTTTGCTTCGCTCTGTGTAAAGTTTGAGCCTTTGAGGGTTTTTTATGTAACGAGTGTTGGTTAAGTGATTAGGGTTTTAAAAATCGATCCTTTTTTTTTCCTTTTTTTTGTCTTTCAGAGTGAGAAATTGAGTTGGGGGAAACTGGTAACAGATGAAGAAAATGCGTATTGAAGGAAGGGATTTGGTCGATCTCGTGCTCTCCTGGTCTCTTGATGAAGTACTCGATGTGGATCTTTATAAAGGACAGGTTCTGTTTTTATGCTTTTTTGCCTCTTACTTCCCTTTTGTTCCTGTTGATTCTGAGTCAAGAGAATCTCAATCTCAGGGCACATTTGACCGAAAAGTTGTTAATTTGTGCATTTGATTTGCTTTCAGCAGGTAGGGAGGATTCCTATGGAGTTTGAATCAACCACAGACTACTTCAAGTCGTTTATCCCTGCGCTTATCGAAGAAACTCATGCCGCTTTACTCTCGAGTATGAAGACATTGTGGCGATCCCCTGTGGTTGAGATAAGCCACATTATGCCAACAGCGGAATTCGAGCTTCCTAAGGACTTGTTCTATAAAGTGCGTTTGAGTGGAATGAACACTGATGAGCCTAGTAAGCAACTGATACCGAAAGATCTCATCGCGCTGACAGATCAAAGGCCGAATCGTGTTGATGGCTTCAACGTTTCCACTGAGCCTTATATAGTAGCTATGGTGTGCAAGGCGGATCCGGATAGGCCTAATGATGTAATTATCTTGGCTTCGAAACCCCTTTTTCTTGAGGATGTTCAAAGGAAGAAGAATGATGAGAAGAAAGAAAGCCTTTTCGGCATTTATATGACCAATATCACCACTAATGTTCGGATATGGAATTCAATGAATCTTGGTTTAGAAGGTGGGAACTTGAGTCTCATCTCAAGAGTCCTTCAAAGAAACAGTGAGAGTGAGGTAAACCATTACACATAAGTTTCTTTAACAGCTTTCGATGTCGGTAATAATATCTTGTTTTCGTGTAGAATGAAGGAGTTTGCATTCCCTGTAGACTTGAACAAAGTGATGGTCTTGTCCCTAGTCGTTTCTTGAAGCTGAATCCTTCACAAGAAGATGCAATACTGAGTTGTTTGGATGTTAGAAGATGCCACCACGAGAATACAATCAAACTGATTTGGGGACCACCAGGGACAGGGAAGACGAAGACAACGAGTGTGATGTTGTTCACACTTCTTAATGCAAAATGTAGAACCTTGACATGTGGTCCAACGAATGTTTCTGTTCTCGAAGTGGCGTCAAGAGTTGTTCAACTAGTCTCTAGATCGTTGAAGATTGGTAACTACGGTCTTGGAGATGTGGTTGTGTTTGGGAATGGTGAGAGAATGAAGATCAAAGATAGGAGAGATCTTATTGACTTTTTCATTGATGAGCGCGTTGATAAGCTTTACCCATGTTTCATGCCTTTTTACGGATGGAAAGCTAGTATTGACTCCATGATACGTTTACTCGAGGACCCGCAAGGACAGTATCATCAGTACTTGGAGAAGCTGGCGCGGGATAACAATGTGAGAAGCAAAGAAAGTACTGATTCAGTTTTCAAACGCAAAGGAAATGACCACAAGAAGACGAATCAAAACGAAAGCAGAGCGGAACAAGTTGTTTCTAACTCTCAGGATCAAGAAAAACGTCCTAAATCGTTTCAAGAATATCTACCAAAGAGATTCAGTGCGCTTAGGGATGATCTTGAGCTTGCTTTCTCAAGTTTATGCACACATTTGCCTACTGCTTTGCTTTCATCTCAAGCTGCAAAACGTATGTACGAAACTATTGACCTTGTTGGAGATGCTACCATTTCAGCTATACCAGATTGTGTGAGTGGTGAAGGACTAAAATCAATACTCACTGTTAATAGAGAAGGAAGTAGACAAAGTGTGACAGTAGAAGATCGCTATCTAAAGCTGTTAAGACTCATCCCTGAGATTTTCACACTTCCAAATGTAGCTGATAGGCATCTTATTAAAGAACTCTGCTTTGGGCACGCTTGTCTGCTTTTCTCTACAGCATCATGCTCTGCGAGGTTATACACCGGAACACCGATACAGCTTGTTGTGATCGACGAAGCTGCTCAGTTAAAAGAATGTGAAACAGCCATTCCTCTGCTGCTTCCAGGAATCCAGCATTCAATTTTGATTGGGGATGAGAAGCAACTTCCTGCAATGGTCGATAGCCAGGTATGCGCCTCTGTGTCCCCGCGTGTGTAATAACCTTTAACTAACCTTTACCTGAATTTATACAGATTGCTCTAGAGGCAGGATTTGGGAGAAGTCTATTCGAAAGATTGTCCATTCTTGAACATAAGAAATACTTGCTGAACATCCAATACCGGATGCATCCGTCTATAAGTATCTTCACAAACAAAGAGTTCTATGGAATGATGATTAAAGATGCTCCAACGGTTAGACAAAGAAACTACACCAAACAGTATCTTCCTGGCAAAATATATGAACCTTACTCTTTCATCAACATAGCATATGGAGATGAACAATGTGGGGAAGGGCGTAGTCTGAAAAACAACGTTGAGGTTGCTGTTGTTTTGGATATAATAGCCAATCTTCTCCAAGGTGAGCTATCCTTGATTTAATACAGTTGCTAAAAGAAGTGATGGTCTATTAGCTTTTGTGTCTATAGAAAAGCTTTTGTCTTTTGGTGTTAGTACAAAGAAGCAGACTTCTATGTTTAAATGCAGTTTGTGAGAGAAAAAAGTGATGATTTTTAGTAGCTTCTGTGTTTATGAAAAAGCTTCTCACTTTTGGTTTTGGTATAATGATGCTTCCTTTTATGTTTAAAATGCAGTGTCTGAGAGGACAAAGACACGCATAAACGTTGGTGTGATCTCTCCTTATAAGGCTCAAGTATTTGCAATCCAAGAAAAGATTCAAGAAACATGTAGTGGTGATGCAGGAGGTCTCTTCTCGCTGAAAGTTCGTTCTGTGGATGGGTTTCAAGGTGGTGAAGAGGATATTATAATAGTTTCAACTGTAAGATCCAATGGTATAGGAAGGGTTGGGTTTCTTGCAGACCGGCGAAGAACAAATGTATTACTCACTCGAGCAAGGTACTTTTAGGCATATCTCAGTTCTTACGTTACTGGTAAAGAATTTGTCTTCCAAGTTATTACTTTTTCTTTCATATAGGTTCTGCTCATGGATACTTGGAAATGAGGCAACTATGATGAATAGCAAGTCTGTGTGGAGGAATCTGATACAAGACGCAGAGAAACGTGGCTATTTCTATAACGCTGAAGAAGATGAGTCATTAGCTCAGGCTATTGCTATCGCCAAAATCGATTTTATCCAACTTGACAAGCCATTGAACAGCTCAAAATGGAAGGTAATGAACTTTGCTTTGTGTCTTTTTAGTTTATTTTCTTAACACTGACTTTGCTATGAATGTGAAACAGGTTTGCTTTAGTGTCGAGTTCAAGAAATCCATTGGAGGAATTCAGAACCCGGAGAGTTACCGGAAAATTAAGAGTTTTATCGAACGCATATCACTAGGTTGGCTTCATGAAGAAGAGTCAGAGAGAGACAATGATCTAGTTTCTTCCTCAAAGCTGCTAAAACAAAGCAAGATCGATGATGGTCTAAGGCTCATTTGGGCTGTAGACATTCTTAAAGAAGAGTTCCACTATGTCCAAGTTCTCAAGATTTGGGATGTTGTGACATCATCTGATGCTCCTGAAGCTGTAAAACGTCTAGACTTTAGCCAGATGAAATATTCAAGAGACGAGATCGAAAAGCGCATAGCCCAATGTTTCAGAGGGTGAGTGATAGTTGTGTGACAAAACCATCCTGTACTTGTAGTAACAATTGATCATCTGATTTGTTCACATTGATGCAGGGATATAATTGAACCCCTAAGATGGTCTGTTGAGTCCACAAATGGTAGCCCCATGTCGGTGGTTCGATCGACGTTTGGATCACTCAACACGTTGTCTTCTGAACCATCCAAGTAAGTTACAGTTGCACACTTGTTTAAGATATATAATGTACATTGAGCAAGATCAAAAGTCTCACTGATTCTTTTTGTGGTATGTAGTGAGTCTATGGAACTTCTTGAAGATGAAAAGGAAGAGAGGGATATCGAAATAGACCGATTAAGTGATCTTCTTACCTCTAAACTTGCTCTATGACATGGTTTCCTCCTATAAGGACCAAATATGCACGCCTTGGTGTTTTTTTGTCGAATACAATTTTAGATATTCTCATCTGTACAAATTCTTTTTGTTGTAAATCCTAACAGAGATTTACATAGAGAATGGCGGGTTCTGTATCAGTTTGACTTAAGTAAAAATGTTTAACGACGAAATTAGTTCTTAGATTCTGTTTTACAAGTTTGTTTTTAGTTTGATAAGAGTACGAAAGAGAAGAAAAGAGCAAGCAGAAAACCAATAATTCATTTTCTTCTTTCTGTACATAATTGAGTAGCAAACTTTAAAAACAGAAGACTTAATGACCAATGTAAAAGTTAAAATAAAAGAGAGACAAACAGAAAACGTAGTAAATAAGAAAATAATATTTTTAAAACCCGAATGATATAAAAAGAATCATCATCATCATCATCATATAATATATAAAAGTTGATGACATAGTGCATTGAGGGCGTCCACGTGGGATTAAAAAACTCGATCTGATTGGTCCACGTCAGCATATTCATTAATCACAAAAATGTTAAGTATGATTAGGACGGAAAATTTTGATTCAATTGGTCCACATCAGCTTTTTAATAAAACCAAAAATTTTAAAGTAAAATTAAAATATTAAAAGTTAATTTAACAAATTATGTCCAACAGAAAAAGTAAATTTAATCTGATTGATCCAAATCAACATATTTATTAAATTAAAAAATGTTAATATGGTTTAAAAGTTTAAAAGTGAAATAATTTTTTTATAAAAAAACAACCATTACCAATTATCAATTTAAAAGAAAACTACAACATATAAAAAAAGACATTACTATTTTTGTGATATAGACATTCGAGATATTCAATAATATAAAAAAAAAATTAATTCTTCTTATTTAAAAATTTGGGCTTCAATATTTTTTAGTTCCAAACCCATGGAAACTAGAAAATCTCAATCGAAAAGAACCCGTTTACTTCCCTTTTACTTTCCTTCCTTTTGATTTACCAAACCCTTTTATGTACTTCTCCTCCTTCTTCTTCTTGCGGGTTCATCCTTGACTCTTTAACAGACTTCTCTGCACTTTTCTGATTCACTTTCGGAGATTTGATAATGATATAGTTTCCAATTTGTCTAATTTTCGAAAAAGTAAGAAGTTAAGAATTTAGTATTCGTTTGCCCTTTCAATTGATTGATGGCATAGTGCATTGAGAGCGTCCACATGGGATTAAAAAAAACTCGATCTGATTGGTCCACATCAGCATATTCATTAAATAAAAAAATGTTAAGTATGATTAGGACGGAAAAACTTGATTTAATTGGTCCACATCAGTTTTTAAATCAAACAAAAAATTATTAAGTATAATTAAAATATTAAAAGTTAATTTAACAAATTATGTCCAACAAAAAAATGTAAATTCAATCTGATTGACCCAAATCAACATATTTATAAAATTAGAAAATGTTAATATGTTTTAAATTTTTAAAAGTTAAATAAAAAATTAACAATTAACAACAATACATGTCTAAAAAAAGTAATAATTATCAACTATCAATTTAAAAAAATCCACAATAACTCGATTTAACAATTAAAACAATGAAAACAGAAAAAAAAATATAACATAAAACTCTTGGAAGACATGATGGAGAAGAAAAAAATGGTTTTGCATGATCATTACGGTTTCATAACAAAATTTCATGTGAATCAACATCAATCATGGATTATATATACAGTGGTACACAACATCAATAAGACTTTCAATAAAAAACTGAATACTTGAACACATAAACATTCAAGAAAAAAAGAACTATTGAAATTCTATGGAAAACAGATAATAATACAAAGATCTTAGCAAGATTATATATCTCTAAATCAAATGTATATATACGTCAAAGTTGGATAATTCGATAGGTGTCATTGTTATTATTTTGCCTAATAGTTTTTTAAAATTTATAAATAAAAATAGGATAAATTACACATTATATATGAAATTCTCTTATATAAATGAAAATCTCTATAAATATATATAATTTTTAATAATTTTAAAGATAGTAGCTAAAAAATTAAACCAAAATATTAATACAGACTTGCGCGTAGCGCGAGTTATATACATAGTATAATATATAAAAGTTGATGGCATAGTGCATTAAGGGCGTCCACATGGGATTAAAAAACTCGATATAATTAGTCCACATCACCATATTCATTAAATAAAAAATTGTTAAGTATGATTAGGACAGAAAAACTTGATTTAATTGGTCCACATCAGCTTTTAAATCAAACCAAAAATTATTAAGTATAATTAAAATATTGAAAATTAATTTAACAAATTATGTCCAACAAAAAAAAGTAAATTCAATCTGATTGATCCAAATCAACATATTTATTAAATCAGAAAATATTAATATGGTTTAAATTTTTAAAAGTTAAATAACAAAAATTAACAATTAACAATACATGTATAAAAAAAGTACTCATTATCAATTATCAATTTAAAAAAATCTACAACAACTCGATTTAACAATTAAAACAATGAAAACTGAATAAAAATATAACATAAAACTCTAGGAAGACATGACAGAGAAGGAAAAAATGGTTGTGCATGATCATTACAGCTTCGTAACAAAATTAAATGTGAATCAACATGAATCATGGATTATATATACAGTGGTACACAACATCAATAATACTTTTAATAAAAAACTAAATATTTGATTATATATACTTTTAATAAATAGTAGCTAAAAAAAGTAAACCAAAATATTAATACAGACTCGCGCGTAGCGCGAGTTATATACCTAGTATAATATATAAAAGCTAATGACATAGTGTATTGAAGGCGTCCACATGAGATTAAAAACTCGATCAGATTGGTCCACATTTGCATATTTATTAAATAAAAAAATGTTAAGTATGATTAGGACGAAAAACTTGATTTAATTGGTCCACATCAGTTTTTAAATCAAACCAAAAAATATTAAGTATAATTAAAACATTAAAAGTTAATTTAACAAATTATGTCTAACAAAAAAGTATATTCAATCTGACTGATTCAAATCAACATATTTATTAAATCAGAAAATGTTAATATGGTTTAAAAATTTAAAAGTTAAATAAAAAATTAACAATTAACAATACATTTATAAAAAAAAGTAACCATTATCAATTATCAATTTAAAAAAATCTACAACAACTCGATTTAACAATTAAAACAATGAACACTGAATAAAAATATAACATAAAACTCTTGGAAGACATGATGCAGAAGGAAAAAATGGTTTTGAATGATCATTACAGCTTCCTAACAAAATTAAATGCGAATCAACATGAATCATGAATTATATATATAATGGTACACAACATCAATAAGACTTTCAATAAAAAACTAAATATTTGAACACATAAACCGTCAAGAAAAAAAGAACTATAGAAATTCTATGGAAAACAGAAAATAATACCAAAATCTTATCAAAATTATATTTCACTAAATCAAATGTATATGTACGTCAAAGTTGGGTAATTCGATAGGTGTCATTGTTATTATTTTACCTAATAGTTTTTAAAAATTTATAAATAAAAATAGGATATATTACACATTATATATTAAATTCTCTTATATAAATGAAAATTTCTATAAATATATACAATTTTTAATAATTTTAAAGATAATAGCTAAAAAAAATAAAACAAAATATTAATACAGACTCGCATTACATATACATAGTATAATATATTAAAGTTGATGGCATAGTGCATTGAAAGAGTCCACATGGGATTAAAAAAACTCGATCTCATTGGTCCACATCAGCATATTCATTAAATAAAAAAATGTTAAGTATGATTAGAACAGAAAAATTTGATTTATTTGGTCCACATCAGCTTTTAAATCAAACCAAAAATTATTAAATATAATTAAAACATTAAAAGTTAATTTAACCAATTATGTCTAAAAAAAGTAAATTCAATCTGATTGATCCAAATCAACATATTTATTAAATCAGAAAATGTTAATATAGTTTGAAATTTTAAAAGTTAAATAAACAAAATTTACAATTAACAATACATGTACAAAAAACTAACCATTATCAATTATCAAATTTTAAAAAATCTAAAACAACTCGATTTAACAATTAAAACAATGAAAACTGAATAAAAATATAACATAAAACTCTTGGAAGACATGATGGAGAAGAAAAAAATGATTTTGCATGATCATTACAGCTTCCTAACAAAATAATTCAACATGAATCATAGATTATATATACAGTGTTACACAACATCAATAAGACTTTCAATAAAAAACTAAATATTTGAACACATATATTTTTAAAAATTTTTTGAACACACATAGAGTCGGTCTCTCTCCAATTATTAGAATTTTTTTTTTTCTAATTTATTAGTAACACCTTTTGTTTCTAAAGTTCATAAATTAACCTCATTTATTTTATTTTTTACTAAAATTTTTATAAAATTATAATAATATTAAAATTAAATATTTATTATACAAAGAACATCACATTACATCATATAAAACATAATATATTTTAATTTTCAAATATAAAAGTTAATCTCTATTATAGAGGAAGAAATAGAGTTTCTCTAAATATAGAGCAAAAAATAGCATTCTCTATTTTAAAAGAAAAAATATAGGTGGATTGGAGATAATTTTCCTCCAAACTCTATTTTTTTCTTTAAAATAAAGATAGATTGAAGATGCTCATAGAGCATCTGCATTGGTGAGAGACTCACATGAGTCTCTAACCAATTTAATAACATTAATTTTAATATTATTTAATTATATTTTCTTGTTTTAAATTAAAAAGAAAAATTTAACCACTGATATAGAGATAACACATGAGATGAGTCTCTCGTAATCTCTCAAATGAGAGACTCTCTCCATTCTCTCTCTTCTCTTTTTTCATTTTTATTAATTTTTAAATATGAGAGACTTGATGAGAGACCCCACTGCATATGGTCTTAGTTTTGCTTACTTTCTTGATCAAAGAAGTTAGATATGCAAGTGGTCCTAAATATTCATGTTTACCAATTTTGAAAAACCAATCATTTGACCATATTAAAATCAAATGAATCAAAAAGGTAATGGGGATGGGAACCCTAGGGTTTTGGGCGAAAAAAGGCGATCTGCAGTCTTCTAAACGTCTCCAGCAAACAACGCCGGATCTGCCTCGAGTATCATCAATCTAAAGCAACAGGGTAAGGACTTTATATCTCTAACCCTATAAGCCTAAGGTAGTGGTGATTCTAGAAGGAGTCG